GGGGGGGGGGGGGGGCCTGAGAGAGTGCTCGGTTGCGCTGTATACACGAACCGGCGAGGCGCTTTCACAAACTCCGTCGATCGGGAGTATCCGCCCGGCATCCGAAGAGCCGGGGACGGTTTGCCGACGGAGAACGCTCAATGAGAGCGCCCTGCAAGCTCAGCCCGGAGCAGGAGGACACCGGTCGAGTAGAGCCGAAGCTCGAGCCAACTCTTCTCTTACTATATTTTGCCTGGCTGGCTGGCTGGGTTGGTAAGAGAAAATTCGAGGATAGGGAAGAAGGGCTGGAGGAGGAGACGAGCCTGATAGTTCTTCAAGACCTTAGAGGATGAGGCGGCCACGTAGCCAGTCTCTCCCGACTCTGAATCGGGCATGTCCGGCCGAGAGGCGTGATAGCACCGCGTGGACAGCCTTACATAGGAATGACGGCGGCGCCGTGGACGACGCCCGGCCCACCTACGTTGCTCTTCGGAAAGCTCTTGGAATGTACAGTGCTGTTAGCCTCCATGGAACACCTAAGCCGTGGCTAACCCTCAAGAAGGTACACTTGCTTCTGTGGGTGATCAGTGTCTGTTGCCAAGCAGCCCGGAGCTCCAGAAGACTCCTTGTGCCCACAACCACATTTGCTTATAATCCATCGGCATCCCTCTTCCAAGGAACTATCCACCACAACATCCGTTCCAGCACCATCAACCCGATCACAAGTTCCTACCCAATGCATTTTTCCAATTTCTCCAACATGCTCTCAGTGATCTTCATGCTCCTCATAGTGATCGCTTGCGCTACAGGGCAAAAGAAGTTCTTCACATGTCGGGCCTATGGATATTGCACATTCGAGGACCGATTAACCATCCCCATAAACTATGCCTGTATGTTGACTATCGAACTCTATAGAAGTCATGACCCGATGGGCTGACTCACAAACCTCGAAACCCTTTCATCTCTGGATTTGCCCAATTCTCCCTTGCGGTGAATACAATGGTCCAGTCGGCCCGGCCTTCGCGCCGCAACCTACTAATAGGCTCTTGACATGCGACGACTCGCAACTTCCCATCGGAACTCCAAAAAACACGTGCTGCGATAACTCTGTGGGGGACGTCGTAAGTCGAGAGATCTTCCCATCATCATCTTCCCCTTGGCTCAAAGCTTTAGCTAGCCAACGTTCCGCCGTCCAGGAGTGCTTGCTGACCATCAAATAAATTATGTACTCACCCTATCTGAATCGTCTAGGATTCCCGGAGGGCCGATGATCCATTGATAGTCTATTACGATGATTACAAAAAACATGGTTGCCATGAAGTTCCTAATACCAAGTAACTGATTTCGTACAACCACCCTCACAATTATCATCGAAAATTAAATACCACCACATCACTCATCGCGAATTCTCGCAACCATGACAATCTCGGTGCCTGAACTTCTTATGTAGGACGTGAAACAAATCAGGCATCTCTTGAGAATTATCATGCTATCTGTTGGAATTTCCTCTCTACTCCTTTCCTCTCTTCTATTTTTTCTTACTTCTGCCTCAATCTCAATCTCAGTAATCACTTGGATCTGCTCACTAGTCACTAGAAGTCTTCTCCTACTTAGTCTGACTCTATCTCCTGTTATGGAGGTTACCCCCAGCTTGTAGTCAATGAACCCTGTCTGAGGAGGATAGTTCTTCTCTCATGTAGTCTTGCTTATCTATTAGGTTATATTCCATTCTTGCTGGTGTGTGATGCCGTACCCAAAAAGGGTTTACTCTATTCAGTATTGTTTCTTTATTCATTTCTCCACAACCACTTTCTGAACATCTTGTACTTAGTCTATTTAATCATGGCTAGTTACAAGAAATGAACCCCATCAGTTCTCACCTTCATTTTTCGCCATTTGAGCTGTTCCAACAAAAACATTTTTGTTGCCCAAAAATTCATCCAAAAAACTCCTCCCAGTTAATCGGTCTTAGTTTCAATACTATCTTTTCTTTTTTCTCCTATGTGACATAAACATTTAGTTCTTGTATCTGATTACCCAAGATTCCATCAAATTTCCGCGAACCGACGTTTGGAAATTGATTCTCTTGAAAATTACCATCTTACCATTTTTTTTTTGTTTCCTTCATGTGCGACATGTGGTTGTGTCTAATAATTACTAGAGATTTCATTTGATACATATTTCAACAAATAAATACCACTGTAGTGTGCAGTGTTTGAAGCCCAAGTGTGCGCACGCAAACTGATGATCAGTGCTAATTATTTGGTGTAAGCAGACCGAGTCTTCATGGTGAAGCAATCTTGTTGGGATTGTGCTACACACTTGAAGCAGGGCGTAGCAAATCCATTGACACTGCCACTAGGCAATCCTGATTTCTGCTGCGTTCAATCAGTCAGAGTCAGGAAACACAAGCGTTTCCGAAGCTTGACACCCCCATTGTCTGATATGGACTGTCCATTAAATCAAAGTCCTGCCCCCCCCCCTTTCCACTGCTCAGAGAGTTCATGCAAAATTCTGCACATTCCTTGTTTCTGAGTGAAGTTGACACTATTCAAGCACTCAGGATAGCAGATCACTTGTACTGGGAACTGTACATAGAACACTGAAAATTTGATTATTTTTTTTTTTTGGTTTTCTCTGATCAGAACAAACAGCAAGAAAATTGTAGTGGCAAGCTCTCTGCTGGTCAAAGGTCAAAGGTTGATAGCAGAGCAGGGCTGAATCAGCTGCTCTTTTGGATGTCCAGCATCCAATCTAGTGGTGGGGTGTTTCTGGCCGGAGCTCATTGATGGACAGTCTCACTTGGCTCACTCAAGATTCTTATCCTCTCATCCTTCTTACTTCCCAATTGTCAACCTTCAATTCTCCAGGTAATCAGACTTACTGATCTGGTCCAAAAAACATGCCAGATAATGAAAGAAATGTGAATAAATTAGGTCTTTAATAAAAAAATAAAAAATAAACAGGTTTTCCGTGTTTAGATGCGGTTCTTGTGCACGGTTTCCACATTGGGACATGTGTATTGGTATGATTTTTTTACCTTATTTTTGGTATGATTTTTTGGAATTTTGAAATTAATTGCTACACTTGAAAGTGTGTATAATACTTTTGTGGTACGAACCATTTTGCATGAAATTCAATGGTTTTTCTTTGAATAAAGAGACAACTAAGGCCTTGTTTGGCACCAATATAATTGGCCAATATAATGGATGACTTCCCGTCAACATCTGCGGGGCTCCCAGTTTCAATTTAGAGCCGAAAAAGCTAGATTTCCCTGCAAAAATCTAGACTTTTTGGGTCTAAATCGGAAACTGCGAGGGTCCCAGATCCCACGGGAAGTCCTCCAATGTGGATTCATGTGACATCTGAAGAAGTTTTCGCAGAACTGATTGGATGTCACATAGGATGTCAGGTGAAAATCTTCATATATCCCTTAAATACCAACAGTTTAACTAATTCATCTTTCACAAAGAGACTTCTGAATTCTTGGATTCTGCTTATGAAGCTTTGATGTGGCATATGGAAATGTGTGCTACCTTTTTATGTTTCCTCTTGCCTCCTCAGCTTTCTCCCATTTCTCCTCACATTTACAGAAAGGATTTCAAAAAAAAAAAAAGTTTATTCCTACAAGTTACACAGAACATACACTGCTGCCAGTTGGTGCACATTGGCTGTGAGTTCCTCCTTCAAAGAGTACCTACTGAACAGTGTCCCCCGTCAAACATAGCAAACTTCATCCAGTGATTAGAGTACCATGAAGATGGTCGGGCACCTGTTGTTGATATGTTGAATTGTTGCATGAAGCTTTCTGAAACAAGGGACATGAATTGCCTCTAGATTTGCAAATGTATAGGACGTCTCAAGAAATGGTGGGCTCTTCTGGATGCATGTCCGGGATATGAAGAACATAAACCTTCCCTATTTTTTGGAAATCTCCCCTGGAGATCTCCCCAACATGAGTGTTTCGGATAAACTTCCCTGCATGTAACGATAAACTGCCCACGTAGCATTCATGATCACCTAGAGTCAATTACTATCCACTTGCCGAATGGCTGAAGTCTTGGCTTTTTGAGTCCTCATAATTGTCTTGCCTTTGCAGAGACCCCGTGATTCACCAGATTCCCCAGTCCGTCAGTCTAAGAACTAGCACCAACAATTCTAGGCAAGAACACACACAGAAAGTCGCCAGGCTTTTATATTGGCCAACTCCCCAAGCATGAAATGGGGCCCATATCATCTACTCTTTGCCTTCTCAACCATAATCACCACGCGTGCGATGGATGAGTGGTTTCCACATACATTATTAGGACAATCTTTGGATACCGGCCTTCCAGGATTGGAATCGGATGACACCATCGACTTCAAGGCGCTTGATGAATACCTGGATCAATGCAACAAGGGCGCTCACTTTCCGTCCAGCTCAAGCATACACGAGTCACATGATACATTCTCGCAGCTTTCTACCGACGTTCAATCTGGATCTCCTGACACCAATCATAATTCTAGGGAACCTTGGACAAATGTAATTTTTGAAGATCCTCAAGACTATTCTGGCCTCCAACATAACGACAAGGTGAGAATGGAAGGAGTCGCGCACCATTCGCCCACAGAGGCATCAACTCATTTGATGCACCCAAACGAGGAAGGCGGATTCGCATCCAATGCAATGGACTTCCTGAGGTCTAGCCTTCCGGAGGATCACCCCCCAGAAACTACTGCAAATGACCCAAAACTACTGACTGGTCAAGCGGGGAGCATCTTGGATCCCGGTAGATTACGATTTGATCACGAGGTTTTTGCGGATGTGAATACTTGGGGCGAAGAAGGACGTCACCTGGCTGTTTTCAAGCACCTCATTGACACCAGTCCTTATGGAGAGTTGATCATACCCGAAAGCCAATTCCGCGTAACTTGTAAGCTATTCCGAAAGAGCAGAACTCAACCGTTCAATAAGCGACTGACGGAAATAGAGTCCAGGAATAGAATCAACATTTTGCGCTCAAAGAGACGGGAACTCATTTACAATCAACCTCTATGGTACGCCCATTGGAAAGAGCAAACGGGTATTGATTTCATGAGTCTGACGTTACCAGAAATCTCATCGGACGTACATCGAAAACTCTACCCAATTTACTTGTTTTATGTTGAACTGATCAGCATGATCATAATCCGATCGCCCCCACTCGCGAATCGACCGAATCTCCAAGTCGAATTGACAAATGCTAGCACATTATTCTTAGAACTATCAAGAGAATCACGTGATTCACGTCGGAAAAGAAAACGAAAAAACGTAACAAAGAATTCAGAGGTAGAAGCAGGAACAGTACCGAACAAAGAGAAAAGCATCGACCATAATGATCTGATTTGGTTGTTCTTAGAGAACTGGGTAAGAGTTTACAACCCTGGTCTTTTTAAAACGATGGCAAACAAAGGAAAAGAGCGTTTCGCGGGCAATACCAAGTTATTCTTATCCAGTATCTTATCTTACTCGATTACCAATCTGAATAAACGTTACCTCTCGTTATTCGAGATGAACGAAACTGATCACTTGAATGGAAAAAAAAGGAAAAAATTCTTTAACCATCAAATCAAATGATGACCTTCTAACGAACATAGTACATCACTTTGCCATCTAACCTTTTCACATTTCTCACCTATCATGCTGATGGTCTTCAGTCAGAGGAAACTTACAATTCTTTAAAGAAATTGAGTTTTCACTAGGTCACTCTTTCATAGCACATGTATAAATTGAGCCGCTTGGAGACTAAAACTATTTACAGTCCTTATTTCCTCAATAGGAGTGGATCTTAATCTCTCATACACTTTAGATTTATAAGAATCAATAAGGAACCACTGTTACACATCATGTTATCTGAGGAGAAATCTGTTTTCAGTCCGGCCACTTAGCTCTTCAAAAAAAAAAAAAGAACACATTAAAATGCACCAGTGTTTTCCAATTTATTCTTAGATCAGGTAACCAAGGTGATGTTTAGACATCTCAAGTTATGTTATCATTTTCCTTCAAACTACTCAATGGCAAATACCCACTTTGATTTGAAAGAATTTGAAGACTAAAGGTTCATTTCTTTATAAGTGAAGTGTTTTTTATAAAGAAAATACAATTGAATAGTTTTATAAAGAGATAAAATAAGATCAAGTTATTACCTAAAGGCAGAATAATAGTCTGCGAGAGTAATAACAATTATAGATAAAACTGCAATGATCTGTCGAGTGACAGTGATAATAAATTTACGGTAATTGGATCAAGAAATCCAGTAAAGCTAATTCTGCTACGATGATTTATTCTTGCTTAATAAATCGGTCTTCGGTGGTGAAATACGATCGATAAGTTGAGTGCAACTTGCGGAGGTTTGATAGATACTGTAGATGATTGATGTTGAGGAGAGAAGAATCAGATCGTCAACGATCATTCTCTCAATCCTTTGATCACGATCATTAGTACTCACTTGGAGTTCAAAGATCGATGATAATCATCATCTAGAGTAATGACATCATTGATGTCCTCTCCTTGATCACAAGCTTTAAGCTTGGCGATCGCATGCTCATCTACGGAACAGCTTAATTCTATACATGATCAAACATTATTGATCAGTATGCTTGTTCTCTAGGAAGTTTATACATTAAAGTATAACTTTACCTGAAATTCTCCTCTTTCGAGGGCTAAGCTTAGGAATCGAATTCCAACAGTCGTCCGTGCTTCGAGTCGTGAGATTTGAAGCAGTTTTTGTAGAATTAAAGATTCCTAAGACTTTCAGTGAGCGGCGAATAGTACAACGCCCGACAGCTTTTGGTAAGAAAATCGGCTGGATTTTCATTAGACTTGATGTAGATGAGATTTATCAAATTTGATTGGACGTGCTCTCGAACAAAATGAAGTCGTATGTCCATGTGCTTTGTACGAAATCCATTTTGAGAAGTTTTGCTTCTTGCTAAATCAATTGCTGCCTTGTTGTCGACGTAAACGGAAATATTGGAGGGTGACTTGAAGATTTTTATTTCGTTTATCAAACTAGTTATCCAGACAATCTCTCGACTGAGATCAGACAAGGCCTTGTATTCTGCTTCAGCCGATGATAAAGATATCGTATCTTGCTTGTTTGATTTCCACGAAAGAACATGTTCGCCTGTCATGACCACATAACCAGTTACTGATCGTCGTGTGACAAGACAATTTCCCCAATCGGCATCGGCATACGCTTTTACACTCTGCTCTTTTTGCTTCTTGTAAGTCAATCCAATATCACACGTTCCTGCTATGTAACGAAACACTTGTTCTGCAGCATTGTAATGACTCAAGCCCGGTTTTTCGAGAAACTGTGATAAAGCGCTGACGGCGTATGAGATGTTGGGTCTTGTTAATATACTCAAGTAGTTCAGCGATCCGACAATTGAGCGATAATTCAGGTCAAGACGTTTTAGAGCTTCTTGATCTTCTTCCGTCGCTTTATTGACTTGAATTCGAGGGTTGAGAGGACAAGACGCCGGATGAGCATTCAAAAGATTAAATTGAGCTAATTTTCTTTCAATGTATTGCTTCTGATTAATCTTGATTGAACCATCTGCGCGAGTTATATTCATTCCTAGAAGAAATTCAGCATCACCCAAATATTTAATTGCAAATTCCTTCTCAATTTCTGCCTTGAAGATTAAAGGATCATCGCTTATAATAACAAGATCATCCACATGAGCGTATATCCACGTCATCGGTCGATCAGGTTGATTTTCCCTCCAGAATACACAGGGATCAGACACAGAGATCTTAAAATCGATTGATTTAAGAAAATTCGATAGTCTTTTATACCAGACAAGAGGTGCCTGACGCAAACCGTAAACAGCTTTCTTGAGTTCAAAGACTGTGTTCGGTGGTCCATCGTACCCTGGTGGCGGCGTTACCGTAACTTTGTCCTCTAGTGGACAAGTTAAAAAGGCACTCCTCACGTCTAACTGATGAATCTTCATGTCATTATTGATCGCAAATGAAATAAGTAGTCTGAGTGAACATGGCTTTCCCGTTGGAGCGTATTTGGCGAAGAAATCGAGTCCAAAAGTTTGTCGAAAACCCTGTACACAAATCCTGGCTTTGAATTCAGTGACTTCGTTGTTCGAACCGAGTTTCTTTCGAAAAGCCCATGTTAATGGAATCGGCGAGTCGTCATTTCTTTTCGATCGCACTAACCAAGCCTTATGCTGATCCATGTTGCTGTATTCCTTCTTCTCAGCTTCTTTCCATTGATCAATCTCCGAACCTTTCATCGCCTGATGATGCGTCTTTGGTGCTGTTGACAACATAACAGTGCGTCTAGAGTAACTGAGAATGTTTGACTTATCAATATCACTGTTTATAATAGAGCTTTTGTCTACGAGGTTCTGATCTTCAAGTTGCTTTTCGTTTTCAATCTCTTCTTGAAGTAGTTCATCTGAATGATCTTCTATTGAGCCTTCTTCAATTGGCAATCGACTTTCTTCAAAGGGTAACGAACTTGAATCTTGAAAGACTGGTAAATTATTAGAATGCTTGAGATTGTCGAGACTTTTATTCAATGCCGGACAGACAGGAAATACATCCTCTTCAAAGTAGACATGCTTGATGTTGATAATTTGAAGATTATCCAATCGAACAACCTTATAAGTTGAGTAATCGTTTGAATAGCCAATCAACACACCTTCCCATGATAAAGAATCAAACTTCCTTTCATGATAAACTTCCGGTTTCAAGGACCACACCTTGCAACCGAATGGACGAAAAATGTTGATGTTTGGCCGTTTCTTGAATAAGAGCTCAATTGGAGATGTTCGACTTCTTGAAAGTGAGGGTAAACAATTTGTAATCGCACAGGCTGTCTTGACAGCCTCAGCCCACCATTCAGATGCTAAATTAGCTTGCATAAGCATGCAACGAGTCATGTCGAGAATTGTTCGATTGGCGCGTTCAGCAATACCGTTTTGCTGAGGAGTATACGGTGGTGACACGTTATGTTGAATGCCGCTAGATTCTAACAGCTGAGATAATTTCTTGTTACAAAATTCACCTCCGCCATCAGTAATTAATTTCTTCATACGATTTCCAGTTTGATTCTCGTAGAAAATTTTGAATTTTTCGATAGCGTCTGGTGCATCACTTTTCTCTTTTAAGATCGTGATGTTAATAAATCCTGTAAACTGATCAACCAAGGTTAGAAAATAGCGAGCTCCACCGTTTGATGAGGGTGTAATCGGTCCAACTAGATCTCCATGAATGACTTCAAGAGCGGCTGTCGTTGAGTCGAAGTGATGTTTAAAACTTCGTCGCGTTAATTTCCCTTTCATACAGGAACTGCAGCATTTCTCCTTTGTCAAGTTCTCGCCTGAGGGAACAACTATCTTTAATCGATCCTTACTGGCGTGACCAAGACGGTTATGCCATTTTGTAAAATTGGATGATTCATTCGAGATCTTCAGCATCGCCACGGTTTGCTGATGAAGAGGAGAAACATCGCCGTCAATCTCGAAAAGTTGATTGGAAAGATTTAAACTGAAAAGTTTTTCTTTATCGTTTGAAATAACTTCGTAAACATTGCCGGCACGTTGTATAAGTATTTTATTGTCGATTAATAACGAGAGCGAAATGAGATTTCGAGTTAAGTTTGGAACGTATAAAGAGTTATTTAAGGTAACAACTTTATCATCGGCCAGTTGGATCATTGCTGTACCACGTCTAACAGCAGTCAACTCTTCTCTAGATTTTCCATCGCCAGTGACAATAAAAATATGAACAGGTTCACTGTCAACGAAGAAATCTAAAGAGTTAAACATGTGATTGCTAGCGCCAGAATCAAGAATCGCCGTAAGTTTTATTTGCGGCGATGATGATTTGACAATGCTGCAGTAACCAAACGATGGAACAGCATTGTTATCTTGTTCTTTGCTCGTAGAGGACTGAGACTGAGAGGTAGTGGCACTAGATGAATGAGTAAGAGTCGCCTTTGAAGGCGGATTAAAATGAAAGCGTTTAGGGCGCTTGGACGGATTATCATACCAGCAGTCGGTTTGGCTGTGAGTAGTTGAATAGTCGTGACCATGTGTGCAGGGATGTTCATAAACAGGCTGACGCTTTGCTTGAGAACGTTGAGGTCGTTTTCCTTTTGAATTCAAGTTTGTTGACAGGGCAGAAATTGAAGAACTCGCTTGATTATTTCGTTCGTTATTCTTTCCTTGAGCTTGTTCAT